GAGAGTCAGAGAGTGGAGAACACGTTCCACCTTCCCCTCTGCCGCCAACCGAAAGTATGTTTGTACCCCCTCGACGTATCGATTAATTACCATCTCTGAACTATTTGCTATCTTACTCACAATGGGCTCATCCACTTGCTTTACCTTCCGCCCAAGACGCAGTTTCTGCAAACCTTTCTTGCTAATATAACTGCGTGTAGACCCGTTGTCAATCATTCCTCCTACTCTTACTTTATTCATTTCAAGATTTGCAATTATTAGTTATCCTTTGCGTTTCTTCACTTCAGTCCAGGCTTGGCGACGAGCGGCCAACTCATCACCCATGCCAGCGAGGGATCCATCTAGAGAGATGCATACGTTTGCCACCTCTAGACAGCGCACTAGATGGGGACTGTCTACCTCTTCAGTTTCTGCCATTGGGACCTTAAAATGAGAGGATTTCTGTTTTTCAACATTCGAAGTCCCTGCAGAGGCAACTAAGACCTCTACTGGTTGTTCCCTTTTGCTACCTTGTAGTCAGGGCAATAAGGGACAATGTGGTCGGGGTCCCCACACTTGAGGCACTGGTAAACTTTCTTCCTGTCTTGCCAAACTTGCTCAGTTATCCCCAACTTCTTCCAAGGCTCCCCTTCTGGAAGACCTGGATGGGGCGGATAGGGCTTATCCCAGTTCCCGTACGAAGCACCGTTTCCTCTACCCCAGGTGAAATTAGAACCACGGCCACCTTGCGAGGTACCATTACCCCTTCCTCCCACGTAGTAGCTACCTTCGCCACCACCCCTCTGGGTGTCGGATCCTCTTCCACCACGTCCGCGGCCTCCTCTTCCTCGACCACGTCCTCTTCCTTGTCGCCCTCCCCCGCGGGCTGCAACGGCCGCGTAGCTCCCCTCCTGAGCTACCGAGCCGCTGGGTCCTTCCTCAAGACCATAGTCTACTTGGTCCCAAGAAAGTGTTTCGACACTTCCTTCTTCAAAGGTCAGAAGGAGGCTGTCTTTCCCAGGTATAGACCGTGAGATAGTGCGGTTTTGCCATTTATTCTCCGCTTGCAAATCTCTCCAATAATGGCAATAATTGGCCTCAGCCAAGAAGCAAGTGTTATCTATGGCGATCTTGTTGAACTTCTCGTAGGTCATCCCCTCTTCCTTTGTACGGAGATACAACTGAGTACGAAGGGGGTCGGGTACTGCGCGTGCAAAACTGTTCAGTATCTAAGCAGAGGTCAGTCCATGTTCATTGCATTGCAATAGTTCGTCCATGGTGGCTTTAAGCGCAGAGGTGCTCTTCCACTTTCTATCTGGAAGGTTCAGAACTAACATCTCAAACCTGCGAGCTAAGTTTTTGTCCTCAAACCACTCTCAAATGGCTGTGAAGAAAGCTTCAATGCGGGTTTTCTAGGACTACTCTACCATGGATCCGCAACCTGCTTCCTTCTGCAGGGAGATTGCGAAGCTCATGGCATCTCCCTCCATACACGAACTTGCCATTAGCACTCTGTCCCAGTACGGAATGCGCTGTCCCTAGACATACGACTCAACTGTCGCAATCCAGTGTAGCACACTTTGCTCTTTCTTGCCATTGTATATCCATGGAATTTTTACTTCAGTTTTATTGATCTGACCCGCTTCATTTGGCAGCACCCCCTTTTGTTTTATGTCTTTGTCTCACCCATCTCCATCTCCGTCTCCTCCGTCTCCTTTGCCGCCACCTATCACCTTCTTTACCGCGGCGGAATCTGCCAATTTCTTGGCCAACTGCTCATCCAACTTCTGTATGCAGCTGAACATGTGCTGGTCAACTTCCTGCGCTAATCGCTGCAGATAGTTGTTCCACACTCCCTCAAATTCGAATTGGTGACTCTCTAACTTTTGCACAGACTTGGTCAATGCAACGAGTTGCTCATTGGTGTGAAGGAGAGAATCTGTGAGGAGGGTAAGGCGGTCATCCGCGACCGCTTGCTGCTGTTTCTGTTCTTGTAACTGTCTCTGAAACTTTTCCACCTCCTCTTTTAGTCTCTTTTTCTCTTTGAATTCCTGTCTCTTTGCGGTCACCGTCCTATTATTCAGTTCTGCTTTCCGTTCCGTTATTAAGAGATCTCTTTCTTTAGGATCTGTTACGGTAGCGAGCTCTTCAATAAATGCATTTCTCTCCACCTCCAAGTCAACCACCATGACAGTCTTGTATCCGAACTGTTCAAGCCAGTTCATGGGGTGGAGCTCAATCGTAATACCACCGACACTGCTGGTTTTCCCTCTTTCAGTACGATGCCTGTGCAATCCTTCACCATTCTCCTCTTCTTCTTCTTCTTCTTCTTCTTCTTCTTCTTCTTCTTCTTCAACTGCCTTCAACTCTGCCTGGAGCTTTCTTTCTTTCTCTTTCATCTCTTTCTCCAACTTTTCTCTTTCCTCTTTCATTTTCTTCATCTCTTCTTCCTTCTGTTTCTTTTTTGTTTCCTTCTCTTTTTTTTTTTCGGCCTGTCGCCGTTCCACTTCAGCCTGTTCTACAAGCGTAGGCCCTGGCTTCACAGTATCTGACCTCATCATCATACGGGAGCTGCACGCTCTCCCGAAGCCCAAGGGAAGGAAGAGTTTGAAGAGTGGACCCATCAACACCAAGAGGGCCATGATGCCTTGCATGGGGTAGTCGTCCATGATGGGGTGCGGCACAGGTACCCCTCCGCTGTCCCACCAGGTAAGAGTTCCCCTCTTGCCCTACTTGTCTGCCACGTGGATGGGATATGCTCTGTTTTTTTTTTTTTTTTTAAAGCTCTGGATGTCGTTGTCTCAGAAATAACGAATTTCAGAAAAGTTTTAAGTTTGACTTCGCTATCAAAACCAGAATTCTTTTCCCTTTCTCTTACTTTGCTTGCTGCCTGTTATCAATGTCAATATGCCTTGGTTGTACTTATACTTGTCTGGCCCTGTCCTGTTTCTATTTTTGTTCTTTTTTTTTTCATAGCTAACGTACTGGTCTTCTGCGCAGGACCAAGCTGGAGCTTACACAGTGTCAGATGCACAGGCAATACTTCCTTCACAAGTCAACTTTGCCTTTGTTCATTTATTGCCTCATGACTCGTGTGCTATCTGACGTGGCAATCTGCCACCCTTTCTCTTACTTTGCTTGCTGCCTATTTTCAATGTCAATATGCCTTGGTTGTACTTATACTTGTCTGGCCCTGTCCTGTTTCTATTTCTGTTTTTTTTTTTTTTTTAGCTAACGTACTGGTCTTCTGCGCAGGACCAAGCTGGAGCTTACACAGTGTCAGATGCACAGGCAATACTTCCTTCGCAAGTCAACTTTGCCTTTGTTCATTTATTGCCTCGTGACTCGTCAGCTATCTGATGTGGCAATCTGCCACCATACCCACAGCCTACTCCTACCCTTCCTACCACTTAGCGCATATGTCAGACCAGATGCCAGGGATGTAGAACCAGATAATGACTCTGACCTTCTATCGACTCTGACTTGACCAGACTTTCACTCCCTGACCTTCAGACCGGACCAGAGGTAGACAGACAGCAGCAGCAGCGACCACCAGAGAGGAGGGGTAGGAGAAGGTCCTCGACACAACTCCACACACAGCCAGGTAAGGGGTGAGAGTTCTTCTCTTCCTTGCGGATGTCGATGAAGGCTCCTCGATCGCTCCACGCTCCACACTCCTCGCGCAGGTAAGATACTCCTCCTTTGCCCCTTCCTCTTCGGCTTGCTTCCCCCTCCTTATCCCAATCCACAACGCACACCTCTTAGTTCTCCACCATAGCCAGCATTCTTCGAGCCAGCATATCTCTCCAGCCAGCCTTGCTCATGCCAGGGTCTCAATGAGAGTAACGAGTTCTCCTCGGATACCAAATTTGCAAGGAAACCGTCTGTTATCACTTGCTGGAGTGCGCTAGATATCATACATTCACACACACTGCATAGAACCGCAATAGCTCACACAAAGCTTCAATGAGAGATGAACGAGACCACGGAACTCAGCTCAAATTATATTAACCAGATTAAGAGAGTTTTTCACAAATTCAAAATGAACAACGCCGAATAGGATCACAAGTCTTCTGCCCTCATCAGAGCATGGCGCTTATCAGGTAAGTGTCACCAAAGCTTTCTCTCCCCTCTCTCCTTCCTCTCTCTCTCTGTGTATGTCTTCTCTCTCTCCCAGTAGCCCTGGTCTTCCTTCTACTCACACATCATCGCACACTCCGTAACACATGAGGATCTACTATGAATACTACTCACTGATGTACTAACTCTATCACTTCTACTACTAACACAGGTTGGCGCAGCTATGGCTGCTTCAGCAAGCCAGCGCCCAACATCTCTCTTCCTTGCGCAGCATCAAGCCAACACTCTCCCTCTGCATACTAACGCACAAGTGCCTTCAGCACTTCCACGCATCAATGCTACTGGAGATCTGTCATGTGGGAGGCTGGTCTGCTCCTTTATACTAATGGCATGGCGTTGCGAGGCCTGAATCAGCATCCCTTGGGACTCTTTTCCCTGTCCAAGGTTGTGTAGAGTGTGTCCTTGTACATTTCCCTTAAGGTCTGCTACTGCTGCGGCCTTCAGGCCTGAATTTCGGACTTGGGGCTTGTATCTAGACTCTCCCCCAGACTTAATTCGTGACTCGGACTTAACCTTTTGACTTCTGTTTGAAGAGGCACACCTACGGTCCGAACAAACACACATTTTGTACGAACAGACACACATACTGCGCGTACAGACACATTTCCTGCATGAACAGGCATGACTTGCACACCCCGTCAATGAACAGACGTGACTCCCATATCTGAATGTTGCAACTGTTCGTCCAGGGGCACAACTGTGACCTTTGATATTGACTTTTACTTAGCTAGGATGTGACTTTTGACCCAGAGCACATGTCTGTTGATCTGCTTTCACGAGTTGGGCCCTGGGCGAGTGACCCCACTATGCTACATTCGTCAAACAGGGTCTGAATCGGGTAAAGGCCCTTTCAATTGATTGACTAGAGCCACTAATTAGCCCCCAAAATCACGATTTTGACCTTACTGCCAAAAATCATTTTTTTTTTTTTTTCTTGGATTTGTTTTCTCGCTATTTCTGTTGTGGAAAAACGCAATAGCGCAACAGCTGAAATTTCCATTTCCGTTTTTCTTCTGAAAATTCAAAATTTCGTTGTTGAAAATCTGGAATATCTTTGTTTTCGAAAATTTTGATTTCCTGTTGCATTTCCCGTTACTTAGAAATCCGGAATATTTTTCTTCTGAAAATCGTTTTTCTTAAAAACGGTACGGGCGGTCCCTCCTGCAGCTATCATTTTCCAATCTGCGCATCTGAGTAATTCTGAAAATTTTGCTGTATTTTATTTTCGGGACTCTCTTAGTCACAGTTCTATAATCATTGCAGTCTGAAAGTTCGAGATTTTTTTCTCATTGGTAATTTCGAACTTCAAGGGAGATTGGGAGACCTACTAGACTTGCAAAACTCAAGATTTCTACTATCTCGAATTTTTTTTTGCAAAGTCCAAACTTTTCTTTTTTGATTAGTGGCTCCTTCTCTGCGTGATTTTTCCCACCCACCCTCCCCACCTATGTTGTTGCCCCCTCTCGCCTTACCTTCTCTACCTGTCTCCGGGTATCCCATGCGGCGGCATTGGTGAGTTGCCACGTCAGCAGGCCACGTCAGCAGGCCAGGTCAGCAGGCCAGGTCAGCAGACCACGTCAGCTGAACACGTCAGCAGGCCACGTCAGCCTACAACAGTGCCACGTCAGCAGCAGGGAGTCCCACGTCAGCAGGCCCCCGGCCTGGTCTATGCTGTTGCGTTCACAAACAGCCGTTATGGACCAGAGGTCCGGGGAAATGGACGAGGCCTATCAGGCCCAGATGCTGGCCTGGAGTACCGAAACCAAGAAACGGGCGGATGTCGCAGCAACCGCAGCGAAGAAGAAGGCAGAGGAAGCTGAGAAGGCACGTCTGTTGGCAATCGAACAGCAGCGCCAGCAAGACGAGGCAACAGCAAGGGCTGCTGATGAAGAACGAAGTCAACGACGCGAGAAGATATTCGGGAGAAAGCGAGCCTTGCTCACAATGGCAGCGGAATGGCGGACAAAGGCCGATAATGGAAAGATGGAGGAGAGTGAAAACAAGATCGCTCTACTCCTCTCCCATCTCACGGACCTCCTGACCACGTGCATTGCACAGCAGGAGGACATCCACAGCCTCGACGGCATGGTTCGGCAGCACAAACGGGCGGTAGATAGCCGCCTCCAGCAGCTGGAACAAACCATCGCGGCCCCCGTTGTCAGCTCCTCCAACACCTCCGATCGCCTCGAGGCCTTGGAGATTGACGTCGGATCCCTCAAGGACGACGTGTAGTTACAGCACACCGCGACGCAACAGTTGGAGCAGCGCATCTGTGTTGCAGCCGCCAACCCAAGTTCAGGACAGCGGGAGTCAACTCCAAAGTTCGATGGTCAAGAGATCTTCTGCGATTCGACGAAGACGGACCCGATTCCGTGGTTCCGCAAGTTTGAACTCACGTTGCAGCTCCATCTCGTCAGCGAATACAAGCACCACACGTACTTATACTCCCGGTCGGGAGGCGAATGTCAAGCGTGGATGAGCAATCTCTTGTCCAAGTACAGGGTGATCGCTGCAGAGTTGCACACCAAAATCAGTTGGGATGATCTAAAGGCGGCATGGCATAAGCGGTTCCAAGTAGAGCTGCCAGAGATCAAGGCAATGGACAAGCTAATGGTCTTCGAACAAGGCACGCTGCCGAGTACCGACTGGATTGCCGAGTACCAACGCTTGACATCCGTCCCGGACATTCAAATGGGCTTCAAAGCCATCCACCACTACTTTATCTCAAGGTCGTGTCCGACATTGAGCAATGCCTTGACTCACGTCGAGGACACACTGACGACAACGGCGAAACTATTTGACAAGGCCACACAGATTATTGTCACGAACGAGGAGACTAAGAACCTGCGTTCGTCTGCGGCAGGCCCGAGCAGAGATCAGTATCGGCCGAAAGTGGCCGTGATCGCGGCGGCAATGCCATTTGACCAATCTAGCGAGGCCGTGTCTGCCAATGAAGGGGATAAACTCGCAGCCGCCCGGGAAGGTGGCCGCCCCGACAAAGGCCGAGGATGTGGCAAGGCGAAGACAAACACCGCATCTAGCCCCGGGCCCGACGCAGCAGCTCCAGCCCCATGGTCCCAATACTGTTACGGACTCCGCTAGGGCTCGATCCCTGGTCTATCGTTTTGCTGTTTCGGCTGCATCCCGTTTTCGGCCTGGCACCCTTTTTCCAAACCCCTCCTTTGGTACCGTAGGATTTTGGACAACTGGCGTCATGCTGCAATTCGGGCGCCACTTTCAAATACCGCATTTTTCAGTTACGCCCTCGGGGCCTTTGCAGAAATGCCCCTGGTTCCGTACGTGTCACCGGTACTTATGCCGGCTCCCCGTACGGTACGGGGACGGGCCTCGTACCAGTTTCAACTGCTGTACTCGGACTCAGTGTAATTTGCTCCTGTTTTCGACATTCGGAATCCAAGACTTCGACTTTGTGCCCTTGCCACTGTGTCTGTGTTCGACCCTCAATCGCGTCGAGTGAGTGAGTGTGTGTGTGTGCTCTCACTCTCTCCCTCTCTCTCCCCTCTCCCTCGGCTCTCCCTGTCTCCCTCAGCCACGTGCTCGTTACACTGGTATCGGAGCCGTTCGAACCCGCCCGACCCACCTTGCTTCGTCGCCGTGCCACGTCATCATCGTCATCGTCATCGTCGTCGTTCTGCCACGTCGTCATCGACGAGAACGTCGTCGTCGTGCCACGTCATCATCGTCATCATCGTCGCCGTCGCTGTTCCACGGCGTCGATAAGTAATCGACGATAATTTTTTCTTTTCTTTTCTTTTCTTCTTCTTCTTCCAATTATCTTCTTCTTCTTCTTCTTTCTCTTCGTTCTTTCCTTCTTCTTACCTTCTTCTTCTTCCTCCTCTTTTTTTTTTTCTTCTTCTTGTCGCGACTCCGATCCCGCTCCCCCCCAGACTCCGATACTCCTCCGGTGCAACCTTCCCCCGCCTCGATCGTTCCCCCCTC